TTCTCCAACGAATACCTATGACTGTGATCGTATCCAATACCTATGATCATCTATGTGATCATCAATCACACATCATACTAATCTTATTATGTCATCATTCCCATAATGACACAAGACTAGGGAGTTTAGTATCATTCATAATGATACATGGATTTCATAACACATCTAGTATACAAGAACATATAATGAATCAAATACTCTCATAAACCATAGAAAGTATCAATACATCAAATGTATCTAAATAAAGCTCATAAACAGTACATCATAGAGCACTAAACCAACACCTGGATGGTAACCAAGTTGATTCTCAGCTACTGCAACATCAAGCATTGATGAAAGGACAGTTATTCCAAGGATGAATAGATAGGGAGAGAGGGGACATCCCTGTCTTAAGCCTCTAGACCCAGCAAAAAACCCATACAGACCACCGTTCACTGCAACCGAGAAATAAGTGGAGGAGATACAAGCTTGTATTGGACGTAAGATATATTCAGGAACGCCCAAGGCCTGCAAAACAACTATCAAGAAGTCTCATTCAATGGAGTCAAATGCCTTCGCTATATCCAATTTGAACGTAGTTCTCGGAGTGATGTTTCTCCTATGATATCCTTCTAAAATCTCTGCTGCAAGTAGACAGTTTCCAGTGATGCTCCGACCCCGTACAAAAGCTGATTGGTTTCGGGGAGCTACCGCTTCTATGATTAGTTTCAGTCTACTTGCCAATAGCTTGCTGATCACTTTGTACAGTGTATTATAACAGGAGATCGGTCTAAAGTCCCCTAGCTTTTCTGCTCCCTCTACTTTAGGCACTAAAACGAGGGAGAGGTAGCATTGACTGACCTTGGCATAGAGGCGGTATTTAGGAAGTGTTGAACTGATTGTATTACCTCAAATCCCAAGAAGTCCCATGTCTTCAAATAAAACTCCGCCGTTAGACCATCCGGGCCCGGAGTTTTATTCGACGGTATGGACTGTAGAGCAGCTCTGATTTCTGCATTAGTGAATGGCCTTGCTGCTTGCTGAAGAACATATGTAGGAACTCTTGGGCATAAGGCCTGTATTTCAGATAATAGATTTGAGGAGCTACGTGCCTGTCTAGGTGGTCCCATTATGGATTTATAGTACTCCACCATCATCATGCTAATCATGTCTTGATCAGTAACGCGTTGTCCATCCGAGTCGATAAGATGACGGATAGTGTTTCTGAAATTTCTGATCAGCAGAGATCTGTAGAAGAACCTAGAATTCTGATCCCCAACACGTAGCCAGTGCACTCTTGATCGTTGCTTCAAGTATTTCTCCTCTATGTCTCGAAGATGTGTCCACCGTTGCAGCACTATTGTTCCTCCTCAAATGAAGCACTCGAGGGATTACGTAGAGCATTTTCCTGCGCCAACAATAGAGATGCATGTGAATTAGAAACTTTTTCCTGCAGTTCACAGTAATTTTCTTTAGAAAGAGATTTTAGAGGAATTTTTTGCTTCCTCAGTTTGTGGTGGAGCTCCGATAGTGTAGAGGCTCGTTGTCCCGCCATTTGCCAGGAAAGTGAAATGATGGGTAGGAAAGAGAGATGATCCAAAATGAAGTTAAAGAGCTTAAAAGGTTTAGGGATGGATTTGGTTTGAGGTTGTAGAGTGATTACACAGAGAGAATGGTCCGAAGGGTGAGGTGGGAGGAAAGTTGCATGGCTGTGAGGGAAGGTGGTTAATCAAGCTTCATTGATCAAGGCACGATCAAGTTTCTTGGCTATCGGATTTTGGGGTTGTTTGTTAGACCATGTGAATGAATGTCCCTGATGAGGAAGGTCAAAGCCACCGATAGAATATACTAGGTTGAGAAATCTGGTCATGGTTGGCGTATGGGTGGTAAAGGTCGCTGAGGAGTGTTCATAGGGGAATAGAATGTCATTAAAGTGCCCACAAATGATCCACGGTGCTTCAGACGTAATATATCGTCGATGCAATTCTCGGATATGATCCCACAATACTATCCTCTCATTGGCCAGATTGGATGCATATACCACAGTCAGAAAAAACGACAAGGTATTTCCCGGGCTCAAAAGAAGTGTGACTGCTTGTCTGCATTTCAAAATCTGAGTTATCAAAACTGTCGGATTGACTAAAATCCAAATTCCGCCATCATCATCTTCTGTGTAGTTATCCACGCATTGCCATTGCGTTCCAATCTTCTCCAAAATGTCTGATCTGTTGGCCGTCTGGACATGGGTCTCCAGAATGGCCCCAAAAAACAGCGAGCTTTTCCGACATAGCTCTTTGATAGCTACATGTTTCCTTGGGTCATTTAGACCTCTTATATCCCAAAAAAAGACAGACATAACTTAGGTCGTCTTAGGTTTGCCCCGCCATGGCGGGTAAGGGTAGCTTACGGGCAGCCAATTGTGTGAGAGGCTCAGAAATTTTGGTGACTTGGTCAGGGGATCGTTGCTCAGGTTCTTTCGGTATAGGTGGGGAATCAGGGCCTATGGGTGTAGAATTGGTGGGAGTGGGAGATGGTGTTATGGTGAGTTGGGTATTGTTAGGACTTGAAACTGGGATGGATGAGGTTTTAGTAGCAGGGTCGGGTTGCTCTTGGCTTTGGTCATGGGATGAAAGGTTTGGATTCCCTTTGTCCAGAGAGGGAAGAGGCCTGGTTGGGATTGTAGGAGATGGGTTAGTGGGTTGGCAAGGAAGTTTAGTGATGGTTTGACTAACCGCTTGGTGTTCCCGAGAGGGGGAGCCTGGTTAAGTAGTGGGGGTGTCGCTTTGGTTTTGCAAGAATCTTCACTGTGCCCAAGCTCCTTGCAGTGAGAACATCTTGGAGGAACCCAGTGGTACAGAACATTGATCAGCTCCACTGAGCCATCCTCAAGCTCAATCTCAATCTCTCGAGGAAGTTCTTTTGTAAGATCTATGTCTATCTTCACATCAACAGACTTGATACTAGATACCGGTCTATATGAGATCGGGTTACCTATCGCTCCTGCAATATAGCTTATTCCTTCTGAAATAAGGAGGTGAAAAGGTACATTGGTCAGATGCGTCCAAAGCGGGGCTGACTTGATTGAAGGAGGGTTCCTGATGAAATCTGGAGACCATTCACGCACAAACAAAGCGTCTGGTCCGACATACCAGAGCGCTTGGCTCAGTACTGCCTGTCTAATTCGGGATGAATGAATTCTGACCAGTAAGGAGCTTTCATTCACTACATGAATTTCTAGTTTTCTTTCCTTCCCCCACAAGTGGTTGAGTACAGCTATTACTTTCGACATCCTAGGAATCTTTCCATAGAAAGTACAGACAACAAAGTCTTGCATCTGTCTAATACCAGTTTCTACCACAGCATTGGGGATCTTTACTCTGGGAATACCATTCGGGGAGGTTACAGGCTCACCAAGTTTGGTAAGTTGGTTTCTCGGTCCACGCAACTTGGCTGCCCAGGTGATCGGAGCCTGGGGTTTCGGTTTCGATAGAGATTTGGATTGCAGTTCCGTAGCCGCAGGGGAATGTTGTTGGGCCGCAGGGCAGGGGAACTCAAGTACAGGCTGAGTAGCCTGAGAGAGAGAGCTACTAGGGCCAGCAGTAGAAGGAGACTGAGTAGGATGAGGGATTACCTCAGTAAGGTCAGAGACCAAGCCTGACTTGGGAGAACCAGAGCTGGCCCCATAGTCAGTAGTGGAGGGCTGGGAAATCTTCTCCGAGCTATGGATCGGAGGGGATGGGGAGGATTGGAGTGGTGGGAAGTCAGAAACTGAGAAGTGAGGAGTACTAGGGTTTATGGCAGTGAAAATCGTGGGAAGTTGCTGTGAAGAGGAGGGAGAATGGGGCGGAGTCGGTGAAGCTCAATCCCTAAGACGGGAAAACGAGCGGCGAAGAGTGGGAGGCGAAGGGGGTTAGGGATTATGGTGCCCTAATGGGTCCAAAATCGGTGGAGAAGGCCGAGGGGTAGGTAAGATAGGCGGAAGATTTCTTCGCCAACCCATTGGTCGACAAAGAAGGAGACTTACCTGGCTTGGCCGGACGATGGAGCCCTGTCGCTATCGTAGTCGCCACTGGAGGAGTTCGACCTACTTTTCCTACCCACCAACACAATCGCTACGTCATTGTTGGTTAATTATTTCATATTTCTCTCAAATAGTGGATGATTAAAAATAAATAAATATCTTTCTCGAAAAAAATGCATTCTTTGAAAAGTTTAAAGTATAAAATGTTCATCCAACACAATAACAAATTTGATTCATTACGAGTACTAATAAAACCATACACGATCTAATAGATTAAATAATGAAAAGAATGCATTAATCGGTAATCTACCCATTTCATTGTATATACAGATTAAATAATGAAAAGAATGCATTAATCTAAATGAAAATCATTACAAATGTAGGCTTTTATAGAGGTGCACGAGTTTATCAATTTGAAAGTAACTCATCTTGGGCATGAAGACTTCTCTCTCCCCCTTGGTCGGCCCACTGCCGACGGAGGAATAAACCCTAGCCACCGCCACAAATCGCCGTTTATCAGACCACCATTCGCCAGATCACCATCAAAACCTCAGCCACCTATACCCTATTGTTGACCATCCCACCATCAGTTAGGCCGGGTCTCCTGGCCTGGCCAGGGTTCTATGGCCCCCCGTCTCCGGTCCGCCTCAGCGCCACCGTCGCCGGGAATTTTGGGCCCCCATCCCTTATCACCACCCCGAAACTCTTCTCCAGCGGTATTTCCGGTCAAAGCCACTGAGGATACCCTAACCCCCAAATCTCCTCCCCTCTCCTCCCTCTTTCTCTCCTCCTGCTCTATCTCCTGGGTCACTCACTTTCTCCGATCCCTCGTCCTCTCCGGCTTCTCCGATCGGAGTTGCTCCCATCACTACAGGACAAGCAGGCACTCGGTGTCCTAGCTTGGTTCTATCGAGCGAGAACTTTCCTCCTCTGGCTAAACCAGAGGCTACAGCCCCGAAGAGGGGTGAATCAGCTGCGCTACAGCCAAATAACCAGGTCTCCGACAACAACAAGGTCCCTGAGAAGACCACCGACGACAACCAGGGCCAAAAATGGAGTGAAAGACTGGTCTCCTCCCTCTGCTTCCTCAAAAAGCTAGGTACTCCCTCAACACACTCTTCTGGTGTCCCACTAGTGGAGATTCCGGAAGAAACAATCCTGAACTCCCTTTCAGAATGGGAGAATTTTATCTACGGTCGCTTCTATGGGCTACCAGCGGCTATGGGACGTATCATTGGGCTAACTAACGCTATTTCGCCGAGAAAAGGGGGCAAAATTAAAGTCCAACGTTTGGATGATGGAGGATTCCTCTTCAAAGTCCCCGATCAGCAAACAAAGGATTTTGTTCTCACACGTAAAATCTGGCACATTGGTCAGTGCTCGATTGTGGCTACAAGCTGGTGCCCAACGCTGAACCAGAATCATCCTCCGCTACACACAATACCTACATGGGTCGCATTCCGAGATATACCGCCCTCGCTGTACAATGTCAAAGGGCTCAGCCGCTTAGCGACGAGCGTAAGGAATCCTCTATATCTAGATAGGAAGACTGCCGATAAGGAAGACATATCACAAGCCAGGATCTTTGTTGATGTTCCTGTCGAATCCCCCCCTCCGAAAGAAATTGTCGCGCGACTGCCTAATGATGAAGTCTGTCACATCAGAGTGGCCTATGAATGGCTTCCATCTAGATGTAATATTTGCTCAGAAACCGGACACAGTGCAAAATATTGCCCCAAGGACAGTGCAAATGTAGAGCCCCAAATCAGAGGGAGGCCTAGGAGGCAAAATCCGACAACACCAACTGCAGGGAGAACTGGGAAAGAGCCAATTGTCTTAGCTCCAGAAAAACATGCCCCCATAAATAACCCACAACCTCAACCTCAAACACCAACCGAGTCAGCGGTCCTACCCTCACAGTCTATTGATTCCAAACCGTCAGGCTCGCAACTTCCCTTGGCATCAGTAACAATAGAAGCCATGACATCGTCCTTATTACAAGCTGCTGAACAAAAGGTATTGTCGGCCCCTACTGTCGCAAATCAGCAAGAGCAAAATATAAACTCAACATCATAATTCAGCAAACCAGCATCCCTGAAAACCAGCTCTAAGGGAAGAGGTAGTGGACGAAAGGCCACGAAGAAGCACTAACCCCATCAACGGATACCATGTTTTTTGTCTGGAATATACGCGGACTTAATAACCAAATAAAGAGAAGAGCAGTCCATAATTGGATTTTGGATGGAAAATACCGTTTTAGAAGTATTTTGGAATCGCACATTAGGCCGGAGAACGCGGATCGGATAGATACAGCCATTCCTAGGGATTGGAAAAGATTTTGTAACCATGAGCAAGACAACGGTGGAAGAGTATGGCTAGTTTGGGACCCTGCTTTGCTAGTCCAGATATATTCAAGCACAGATCAGTCAGTCACATGTGGAATTAGTGGCACAAACGGAGAACCGACCTTCACTTCTACCTTTGTATATGCACGAAACTTGGTACTAGAACACAGGCCGCTATGGGAACATATCATTGAGATGTCTAAATATCAACCGCTGGTTAACTCACCGTGGATAATCCTTGGAGATTTCAATCAAATACTTCGAACCTCGGACAGATCAGATTTTCCGGATAACACCGTTTCAACCCAAGGTATGGTGGATTTTGAATATTGTGTTGACATTGCAGGTATATCAGACATTACGTATCGGAGACATCATTACACGTGGTGTAACCTGAACTCGACACAACCACTATCAGTCAAGTTGGATAGAGCAATGGTAAACTCAAGCTGGCGGGAAAGGTTTCCAGACACATGCAAATTTCGGTCAACTAGGGCCATCGGATCATAGTCCATGCACCGTCTACTTCCCAGGGGCACAACATCGACGTCGACGACCATTCAAGTTTTTTCATCATCTACTGCAACACCCGCAGTTCCAGGACTTGGTTCGAGAAAAGTGAATGTCAACAATTGGAGCTGGAACTAAGCAATATAGGTTGTGCAAAGCACTACAAGCTATGAAACGACCGCTACAACAGTTGAACGCAAAGGAATTCAGAGGAATCAGCAAGCGCCCAAATAGAGGGAGACACGCTCAAAAGCATTTAGTCTCAAATGTTGGTAAACCCTACGGGACAACTAATCGAAGAGGAAAAAATAACAAGAAGCAAATGGCTTCGGCTGGTGGCAGCAGAGGAAACTTTTTACAAGCAAAAATCGAGAGTGAAATGGCTGGAATCGGTGACAAGAATACAAAATTCTTCTTCAACGTCACCAAGGCAAGAAAAACCGCCAATCAGATTCACTATCTAATAGGGCAGGATGGGGAAAAAATAGACACAATCACAGACATCAAGCGGCATGTGTTGGGCTTTCCTGGGATCTCATGAGCGAATCTAATTCCTAAGAGATCGATTCTAGGGTTTGCGCAGCGGATGCAAAACAAAAATTTTGATGAAACCCTAGAACCTATCATGCATGATCTTGCAGAAACATTAGAACGCTTACCTCAATCGATCCGGGGCCTGTATCAATTGATCTGTTCGTCCGATCACTGTAGGCAGGAAGAATACCTTACCCTCTACACGTATCCACACGGCGGAAAGGATTCCAACGGTTGGAACTTGTCTGCTAGGACTGAAGAACGCTTTCTTCTTTGCGCAAAGGATTCAGGGATCTTTCTCTTAGGTTTTTCACTCTCCAAACCTCTCCCTAGGGTCTGGAGCTTTTTAACGTCTGGACCGATCGGTCCATCCGATCGGTCTGGAACAATTTCCGGACCTCACACGTTACCTCTGGACCGACCGGTCTACGTCTAGACCGATCGGTCTGGGTTAGCTGAGGCCGATCAGTCCAGACCTTCTAGACCGGTCGATCTGGCCTCCGCTCCACCGGAATTTTCTCGTCTCTTTTCGCGCATTCGTCCTTTCCTCTGTGTGTGACCCTGTAGGCTCATCCGATATAGCAGTATAACACGAAATCTCTTATTTCGGTTACAC